AAATGAATAAAGGCTGATAGTTTCGAAAGAAACTGTTTGGGGCTGCGTCGGTGGGAGTAACGAAATAATTTGGATATATCAACAAAGTTGAAATGGTAAATTGGCCACCGTAACGATTACAAAAGCTGACGTTTCGAGCGTTAGCCCTTCGTCGGAGCGAATAGAGGAATTGTGGGTTGTGTGTGCTTTTAGTTAGTACGTTTATTCTACAAGATTCACTCTCAAATAAATTACTGAGACTTTAGAGGCAAAGCTATCAATTGCGACATTCCACACTTAATAGTATTTACTTTTCGGTAGAAGAGGAATATTCATTAATCGAGACTTAAAATAATAATTGGTTCAACTGTAGGTGAACAGTAGGATGTGATTAAAACATGTTATCACAGTGAATCTTTGTGCATAAGATAAAAAGTTATGTCAATAAATAAAATTTGAAGAACTATATACTCTATGAATCTCTGAATGTACTATAGTAGTGCTCTGAAAGGGATTGTCGTGTTGCGTGACACGGCACAGTGTAACGTCACACAATTACATCAGAGGATAGTTTCTACAACATAAAAGTCATTGTCTACCCCATGGAATTGTTGATAAATCAACTTTTACTTGATGTCGCACAATAAAGCCACACCACGTAAAATCCAGTGATCTGGATTCTGATTGGTTTTTAAGTCCACGCTTGCAATGTACGTCAAATCTGTTCTCTTGGGCTTCTTATATATCGGACACTGGTACATCCGGGCATCACGTCCAGCTGTTATATTGATTGCATAGATGTGAATGACTGGCATGGACGTAAAAAGGACCTTCTGCGTGGGTTCCACCAGTTTACAGCCTCTCCGGTCCCACCCAGCACCATCAAGGTAAAGCCCGTGCACATATACCCCTTCTGCTGGCGGCTGAGCGATGTCATCCTTAAAAAACCGTGTGACGTCATTGTGGAGAACCACACAGTCCAAGGCCCATCCCTTGTGCGCGCGCGTCACTTCCTGCAAAACGACAATAGTGGCTTCTAAGAAATTTTTATGGATTGATTCACATCTAGTGTTCAAATTTTCTCTTTGCAAGCTCATCTAAGAATATGGAAATTTGTGAGGGTTGATTGTGAATTTTGCTGATAGGCTACAATGGGCCGTTAGTGTTGAGGTGCGTCCGCGAATAACAAAACACCCATGGCTGAAGAAAACGAAATAAATAAATATATAAATACAGAGGACAATAAAATATTAAAAAAACAAAAACAAAAACAAAACAAAAAACGGAAATCTTTAGACCGGTGAAAAGCTAACATTTGCTCTCCCCAACAGCTCTAGTTGCATCAATATAAGTGTTTTTGTTTGTTTGTCTCTGTTTTCTTCCAATTTGGTTGCTTTTGTTTTTGGGCAATTTGCTTCAGCTTATTTGTTTATTTGTTCTTTGAAGGGATGAGCCTGTTGGCTCATGGCCAACCTTTTCCTTTAAACCCACACAGGGAACGGAAGTAGCTAAGAAAATCCAAGTAGTGACTGTGAGGTTGTTAGGTCTGGATGAAATCTTCGCTGGGCTGGTAAGTGAGAAGTGAACAACACTTAAATGTCTGTTCAACAGCGTTGAGTAAGTCGACATAAGCCTGAGATGACGTCCCGCAATCTTTACCTGTCTCATGGCGGTTAGGAATCCTTGTGGGTTAAAGAATCCTGTCATCCAAAACACATTGGGTCTTCCTTCAAAACACCAGCTTCTAAACTGGTTATTTCTTTCCAACAGTTCTGTGTACCAAAATCCGAGCGTGGAGGATTCCCATGATATCTGGAGTGACACAAAGGTGAAAAAGACCATAACTAAATTGGCAACAACTAGGGTGAGTTAAAGAGACAACAAATACTCAATTGAACAGTTGTATGCTTGGTGACCAAACCTTTGAGATCGACTAATTTGCAAAACTATTCGCTATCAACTCCCTGAACGATAGAGAGTGAAATGGGTGCAAGTGGCGGGGCCTATTTTTTTTAAATTTTCCTATAATAACATGAGCCTGTCTTATTGGCAAGTTTTAAAGGAATAGTCATTCATATAACACCAATTGGATCATTCGCTCTTCGTTTTTTAGGCAAGAGAGTTGATTCGGGCTCCATTCTCGTCAACAATCACCCGATGGAAATCTCAAAAACATAGTCTAACTGTTTAATAAAACGTTTTTGGCGTGCAGTTGTTTTTCTTTGCTGCGGTATAAACTCCGTACACAGTCAACTTGCCACTTTAAGCACTGGTAGATTTGCGAAAAAATCGCAGAAGAAAGTGAATTTAAGCTAGTGGATTAGCGCCAAAATCGCTCGACGAGTGATGGCGTTTAAAACTTATTCGCCCTTGTAAACATTAACAACGCTTCCCTCGTTTTAACATACCTTTTTCCAGTGAGTAGGAATTCGGGCATCGTACATACAATCAAGCGAATCTCTGAGAGTCTGAAAGGGAGCAACAACGTGGGCGAAAAAAAGAATGAAATGAATAAGCTTTGTGAATAACTCATTCGATGTTGGAGTCTTCACAAACAAAGCAAGTAGGAACAAAGAGAGGAAAAAAAGTAACTGCGTTTGTATTTCCCATAACAATAAAACAATATCTAAGTCCCATTAAAAAAATCAAAGAAATCTGTAATCTCATTTGCTCACAAAACTGTATTCATTATTATGCAAAAACGCCATTCTAAATAGCCCATTTCCTAATTACCTCTTTTTCAAAACGAGGCCTGGTGCTCAACCATTCTTGTGAAAATGAGTTTAATTTGCATGTGAATGAAAAAGGATTAACATATGAAAGGATGAGAACCAGGATGCGTTTGAAAAATGAAGCCAAGGGTAATTTGGAAATGGGCTATTGGTTGAGACTTGTGCGTGCTCCTTCATTCAACGGTAGATGAACACAGTTTCTAACCGTGTAATTAACGAAGAATTCTTCACAGCATCGATTGACAGCATTGATAGACAGAATTTGAATTTCTCGTTCTTTTTACAGGCAGTACAGTTTATTTGTTGGTAAATCAATTGAATCACTCTAGCATTTACACGATACTAGTGCAGCGCTGCATGTTCATCTCCCGTAAAATTGTCAATATTACTACACTGAAAGATAGGAAATCCATTATTTCAAAATGAACACATTAGTCAGAACGTACAAAACCTACCTCGCTCATAATAATAGTTCCATCGATGGCAAGTTTAAGGTCCGTCAGTGTCTGCCGTACAGCGGTTATAACCCTTTGCATTCGGTCAATTTCTTGCCTCAAGAAAATATTCATCGGAGAAAGAGCGCCCATTTTCTGTAGTCTAGATTTGACCTAATATCGAAGAATACCTGTTACTACTTTTCAAAGACAAGCGTAGAAACTTCCGAAATAAATTCGGACATTCAATTGCTATTTGTTAACAATATGAGAATATAAACATACTTCTTCAAGTCAACCCTACAAACACCGCAATTCACATTTCTCGCGTCGAGCTATGTGAAAGTTATCTTAAAGATAAAACACTCTATCCTGTAATCCAGAGCCAAGATTTACACTGATAGCAACATGTTTTCCGGAAACACGTGCACAAACGTGATGCCAAACTGATGCCACGTGATGGCAAACGGAGACCATTGAAAGACAACAGGATCGGTTTAGACAAAAGCGAGTTTACCATGAACAGGCATCTTGCAAGTCGTAACTTGCAAATCGAGTTATTACGCTAGAAAGATGGTAATTGGAAAGGTCACTTCATTCCTGATAATATATTTGCTGATAAGAAAGGGTTTACAAGGTGTTGGATTTTTTCTCACCACTTCACCATTTCTGTTCATGAAATCCCGCAAATAGAAAACAAAAATTGCAATCCGTACAATATTCAAAGTGTTAAGAAACGGCAGTAATTCAGCTCACCTCATGCGCAATGTAGTTTTCAGGTAGCTTATCAAGCATGTCATCAGCCAACCGCTGGACAACAGCCTCGCGGGTTTCTCCTCCGCCACCAGAGCTATCTTTCGGTTGAATGCTGAGAATAGTGTCCAGGCAAGATTTGGCCAGGTTACTCTGGTAACTAGAACAAATCGAGAAGAATAAGGGTGTCTTTAACAGACAAACAGTTCCTCGGATATCGAAAAAAAAAATAGTTGCCATAAATAGATTTTTATATACCTCTTGCGATCGCGAAATACGGTTTCTTGAATGTATAATGAACAGACACTAGACTGCAACAACGATGGTGAAAATATATTTGATGTATTAGACATAACTCACGTGATGTCTGCGTTTGGATGAAGACCAAACACCTCAGGGGAGTCCACAAGGGGAAGAGTGTCAATGTAGTCCATATACTGCGGTACTGAAGTACACTTTGGAATGGTGTAACCTTTGTAGAAGTTGAAGCTTTGCTGAAACATCGATTCACTAAACCAAACCTGTAAAGGAATCAGCAAGGAAATAGCGATTTAGGGCCAGGTTTACTTGCACGCCAAATGGCAAGAACTTAACTTTTTTGCTTTCTGCCATTCGGCCATTTGTGTATTATTACGGCATTAGATGCGTGTGTTCTGAATAGGACGTAGATAAGTTTCTACCTTCATGTTGAAAGTGGTTAAGAACCAGAAGAACGATAAGCAATATCGGAGGTTTAAGATCTGTCTCAGCCCTTGTGAATCGGTGACTGTATCAGAGTATTAATAAATCAATATTACCACAATTATTACTATTATTAAAGTTATTGTTATGATCACTAATCGTTTGATACTCCAGGTACAACCTTGTCAAGAGTAAATAAATCTAGCTAGACATAACTTTGGAAAAAAACACAGACTCACTTAGAGTCTAGAATGATGTCATGCACAGAGATTCAAAGCCCGCCTGAACTCAGGTTCAAGGGAAAGTAAAAAATGTCAAAAACCTTGGCAAAGGTGTTCAGCAGTCGTTTGTCGAAGTCATCTGTAACTCTTCCTCCATACTGCACCTCTCCCAACATGTACCGCACTGTGTTCCAAGACACGCCCTTTTTGATGTCCATGTCGTCCAGATGATTTTGAACAAACTGCACACTGGCCGTAAAGTCTGCTTGGTTAAATTCGTATGGTATATTCCATCCTAAAGGCCCGTACTTTCGGCGCTCCTGAAGAAAAAAGATAGAAAAGTTTTCTTGAAAGTAGCGACGTACTTTTAAGCCAATAAAAATAAATTAAGAGTTGACGTATTTTTGATTCCTTCAAAAACGTTGGGCATTAATTTTTCAGTATCAGCAACATGCTACATTTAAGAAGAGGGCGTGTTCCTTTTGGTTGGAAAAAGGATTAACGATGCCCGCCTTAAAAAGCCTGTTTTGCATATTCTATGACTTTATCTTTCTCTACAGATATGGAGCAAGTGTCAATGTAATCCACATTGTCAAGCTAACACACTAGTTCACTGAAAGTGAAAGGAAGAACCCTCGAGTTGGAAGAAACATTTCACAAACAGAAAAACATAATATTAAGGTGCCAGCTTTACTAGTACTGGAACTGAGAACAGCTAACAACTTCAAACGTAATAAATGAGAAAACTTAGATTCTTACCTGAACGGTTGAATGGAGAAAAGCCACACCATACAACATCGGTTTCCACTGAAGAAGGTTACTGACATCCAGTTGGTCTTGACTGATTCCTGCAAACACAGTGAATTATCGGCAGTTAAGAACCATTTACGAGAGTAGTTTAGGAAAGTAAGATCAGAAAGGAGTATTCCAAACCAACTCACCATTATAGGTTCGTTTGAGTCCAGCTCGAAGTCCCTGGGGAGGCTCATTGGTGAATTTTATTGACATCTGTCAATTTCATTTATGAAATGAAAACATGACCGTGAGTTGTTTGGCATACAATTCTTTAAAAACTACGAATGAAATACTTTCCCATGATCTAACCATTTGAATTTGTTTATTTTGAAAAGCTGTGGCAATCTAAATTTTAGTGCGTATGCATCGTTTTCTTCTAAATCTTCCACTGCCATACAAAGTCTTTGTTTCCAACGAAAACGAAGCAAAACCGGCTTTTAAAACAGGAAGGAATGTGAGAAAAGATGGCAATATAGGTTCGCCCACAAACCTGCAGGAGGCCAATGGGAAAGTGAACATGTTCCTCTGTGGTCATCCACAATCTGAACCCGTCGTGAACCTGCTCAGTGTCTACAACGGTATCCATGAGCTCATCCAGGAACTCCAAACCAAGGTGACAGTTCTGAAGAAGAGCCCATCCGCCCTAAAACGACAGACAATAAATTTTAATAAACAGGTTGTCCTCGAACGTCTGTTCTCATTTCCTGTAGCACATGGTCTGTAGACCTCTTCCTTATAATCACACCATAAATTCCAGAAGAGATTTGCATTGAACGGAAAATCACTGCAACCATTAGTCAATGAAAGCTAAGCTAGCTACATACCACGTGAAGTGACGCACCCAAAACCCCACTTTTCATTTTATAACCAGCGACTCTCCATACAAATATAAGTTCTGCATGAACTAGAATGACGGGAGCCATGCCAACAAAAAATCGTGCGAGTAACCCCTTGTTCTATGTCTTGATAGTGTCTGCTTAAGAAGTTGTAAAGCATCATTCGCAGGCTGGATACATACCGTTTGCATGAACTGTCCGACTAGTTTCCTAGCGTGAATTTCTTGTCCTTGTCCCATGGAAATGGCTCGGCAATCTGCATTTGAGAAGGAAAATAAATTAGTTTTAGGACAAGCTGTGTAACATCTAAGGGCACAATTTTTACTCTTGTTGGTTTCTTTCCGATTCAAGAGAAAATTAATTCCAAAGGAAATCCCACTCAAGTTACTTCTAGGTCCAAGTTTAGCGTGTCTGATATCCCTATAATGATGGCACATGTACCTCGCATATTCCAAACTAATTTTGACATCGTATGGGATGTCAACCCTGAAATAAAATACTAGATCCTAAAAGGATTCCAGAAAACTGAACAATCTAAAAAAAACCAAAATGGGTGAGATTGTTTTTGGAGTAAAATTGTCATAGATTTGATATCTAGAATTGACCCTCTTATGCTCTAATGTATCCCAGTTCAAAAATGAAATCCGTGCTAAAATTTTGTTGAAACCCTGAATGTCTCCTTTGTTCCTTACCGAACTTGTGTCTCTTGGCAAGGTTTTCAATCTGGCTTGTCGGATCTGAGCCCATGGACAGAAAGTTAATCAGCGGTGTTTTGTTATCACTCTCTTCCCAAGTCTTCTCCAAATCGAGGATAACGTTCTCAGCGTAGTTGGGTCCCATAGACTCAGCGATGAACTTCCGCGCCTGCGCCATGGTTCGGTCGGGACACCAAGATCTAATGATTTGAGTGAAAGTCGTGAAAACCATTATCTGTGAGTATTAGCTCGTAACTTGGCATTCACATGTGTAAACACAAACTAATTTTTAGACACTGTTATCAAATATCCGAACGAAGATCAAGGCAACCAATAAAACCTGCCACACTCCAGGTAATAGCTTTCGTAACTCAGTTACAAGTAGTGCTTAACTGGTATCTGAGGGGCAGTTCGTTTGACGCCTAAAGTTTTCAGTCTACAAATTTCTGTAAATGCCTTTATTAGTCTCCCAATTCGCATCAATTCCTTTATTACCACCCACAGGACAAATGAGATAAACTCAAGATAATTATCATCTCCAAGCATATCCGTGAGCAAATTGCTTATTTACAACTTTTTGACTTTTGTCTGCTTGCTGGTTTTGTTTCTGTTTTCTTTTGCCTTTGTTTTTTCAACATGCTTACGGTATTTTTGAAAGAGCCGTTTTCTATATTAGCAAATTAATTTTTCCAAAAAAATATAAGTTCCTTGGGTAATACCAAACCTGATAAGCAGGAGTTTTCTAAACGTGTCCAACGAGTTTGCATATCCATCAGGAATGTCCGCTTCTTCAGGTGCATCCTTGTCAAACCAGTTTTTCCACTGTTTTTCGTTACGAGCGATCTGGAAGTTAATTAATTTGCACAAATAAATTTGATGATATTAGTACAAAAGAAATGCTCCTATTTTCCTCGTACTGACGCAGCGGGTCACACATGTTGGCGTTAAACTATTGAAAACGTCTGGTAAAATGAAGAGTCGCTAAAAATACAGTTGCGAAGCAAGAACTAAAATTTATAAAAACTGGACACAAATTCAAGCCCCTTTTATGCTTGAAATTCAGGGCAGGTACCATTGTGGATCGTTTGACGTGATATGGTTTCCACTTTTTCCGCTGAGTTCCAAGGAGATCACGCGGATACTAGTAGCACCTGTTAAGCGCCACAGGCAAAATTCCGAAAAAAATAGCCAATATCTATTTTGATTTTTTACCTGACTGAAGACTTTATTTCCATTTGTGCCGACAATTTTGTTTCGTTGGTGGAGGTTTCCTTTAACGGTGGCAAAGTTGTAAATAACCAACTTGAAAACTTAAGCTAGATTTTTTCAAGATGGCTCTATGTGAAGTAGCAGCTAAACTATCTGTACCTGATTCAGTATGTCTGAGAATTGCGGCAGTTTACTAAGTTCCACCAAGTTCAACCAGGTCATATCTGTAATCCATCTACAAGGCTTTGGCTGGACAGCTTTCAGGTCTAAAGAAGCTCCACCTTTGATAAGTGTCATGAACTCGCTGTGTTTTACCTGTGGAACACAATCACCTGTTATGACATAGCATTCGTCCGCTCCCTACCAGCAACCTTGCTTAACTTAAGGGCAGTTAAGCTTTTAGAGACATTCTTTCAGTTTTGGCAAGGGTTTTCATACTCTAAATTTATCCTCCGTAAAAGTTTCCTCATCGTGTGGTCAAATTCATAAATTGTCCTTTTCTCAAGCTCCCTTATCCAACGCGCGTTCCTGGAATAGTTGTTCACTACTCCACGGTCGTTCTCAAAATTTACCATCTTTCTCGCTACCCTTTAAAGGAAGCATTGTGGATACTAACAGTTTGCAGGACGCTTATTACATAGAAACTCAGTCTTGAATATTATACCTTACCATTTTGAATCTTTCCATCCCCCTTCTTGTTTACGGGAGGCTATTTCTACATCGGTAAAGCCCCCTCGAAGCTTAAATCGAAATCAGTACACTCTTAAGTCGAATGCGAAAGAAGCACCTTTTCAATAATACTGACCTTCTTATTCTGTAGATCAATCTTGAGGGCAAGGAGAAGCGTAAACAGAAACTTGTGATTCTCAAACAGACCACGGCACGAGTACCTCCACACTTCGTACGTCAAGTAATCTATGATGTTGTGTATCCTCTTGGCGGTAATGGGGGATGGTTGAGACCTGAAAAAAGTAAACCATGTTGTTTGTTTTTTGCAACTGATCAGAAGCCTCGTAGAAGCAACTTCTAAAGAAAGTTGAAAGTTTTACATAAAAGGCCTGGGATGCATTCCATCAAATCAAATTCTCACCTCGCCATGGCGTTGTCGAACAATCCCAAAAATTGCTTGAGTGAGGTCTGGTACATACAATTCACCATACTCATTTCGACAATCAAGAAGTATAGGATACTGCCACGGGTGGCCACTGAAATATGAGAAACGAAATTAGATATGTTACAATATCCATCCATACTTAAAACTTACATTTACTAAATAAGAAATAGAAAATACTTTGGCCGCTGGAAGGTGTAGAAGACCATTCACGAAAATCTTCAAAAACTGTCAAAATTCAGCTTGTAAATTGAGCGGCAAAATGTTCACGATGATGTCGCTCATTCATCCAAAGAATTTAGAGAAGATAAGGAGACATACTTCAAATTCTCTCCGAACTGCGTGAGCATTGGTTCCAGGTACTCACCAAGCCTAAACTCTTCTCTTGCGCCGTTGATCTTGCTCTCTGTGTCAGCGGCAACAACAAGCTTTTGACTGACTTCTTCTGCTGTGGCCTTTGTAGTGCTGAGGACCTCAATCAGTGATTCGTCATCCACAAGGGAACCCTAAAGTGAAATCAGATCAAGTAATCTTAGCAACAGGGCTCGTATGGATCAAGATGCACTTGGTTTAGTGATAAAACTGAGCTCAAGAATGATCCTTGGATTAGTGATAACCACAGCGAGAACCAACACCGAAAACATTTTTTCGATTTAATATCAAATTTGAACCCGAGAACTGCGCCCAAAATTTAGCCCTAACGAACTACAGCTACAAGGAGAGCCAACATAATGTAATGTTTGAAATCGCTCCCTCCCATATTGACGAGAAAGACACCCAAGTTTATGATGCAACAAAACGTTTGAAACGATTAACTACACAATAGATAATCATTCACACCTGAGTACTTGTAAGTCTGTAGAGCAAATTATCTTCCAATTCTTTCATCTTCCTTTTGTTAGAAGCCACGTCCTCCATGAGTTTCGTTCGCTCAGCTTCCAGTTCCTAGAGATTTGCGATAAAACTTACATTACATTCCGAATATTCCTCTTAGGATGTACAATACTGACAATTATCTGTAACGAACTACTTTTCTTCTCTTCCTTTTAGGAGGGGAGGGGTACAACTTCATTTTTTTTTCTTTAGAATGATTAACGTGATCCAAAATGAAGAATGGACAAAAAAGGCTTAACTCGAGTTCCGTCTATAGAAAGGAAACTTACCGCTTTCTCAGTCAGGATGACGCGACCAAGCAGCTGATCTTCCAAGCCCTTCATAGTTACAGTGAAGTCAATGATGGATGTCCGAGCACTTATCTGTTAACAAAACATACAAATGAGGAATATCTACGTATATTAGTGGAAAACATCACTCCTAACTCTCCAACTGTTAGCAAAATAAAAATGGAGAAACGGCTACGCTAGTTTATTTCTCTAAACGGTGGCCCTATGACCGTTCCTATACAAAGTCTTGAAACAAACTGACCCTTCACCCTTTAGATGTGGCAGATATATTACATTGAGCATATAGGAAAATACGTTGGAAAATTTTTACGTTTCTACACATATTGAAGTTTTTTAGAATGATTTCGTAGTCATTGTAAGTTTTATCACGACCCCATCAGGCTGCTAAGCTCTAATCACCATCGCGTTTAATTACACTATTCACGCTAATTTCTCTCCAGACGTATTCCGAAAAGCACATCAAGGATACCTCTTATTCATGCATGTAATCTGCGAGGATCAAGTATCTAAATTATAGCGAGTAAATTTCGGGTGCATGTTGTAACTGACAGCTGTCACTCACCTCAGGTGTGTACGCAGGATTAGAGAGTTTCGTCGTGATGTATAACATAAACCCCTTCATGACATCAATCTCTTTGTCCCCAACTTTCACTTTTAGTGTGCTTCCACTCTTGATAAAATTCTTCTCCAACACGTTGTCCAAAGCTGGGTCCAATTCTTCGCCCACGTCCTCGATGAGCATTGGTCTTCCAAGCGACAAGCTGTCCTCGAGATGATTTCGGAAATACTTGTGATTCAGTGAGGTCAACTGTTGAGAGAAAATAATAGGCTTCAACAACAGGTTACTGTTTAGTGAGAACAATTCTCAAACTCTTTTAAGGCTATAAAAATTCCATGACTCTTCATAACTCTCCATAGTCTTTACCAGAAACAATTTAAATGTTTTCCACACTCAAAGCTTGAGAATTCAGCTTAAAAGAAAAAACATTCATTATTTTGGAGTTCTTAGAAAAATTAGATTCGGCTATTAAGGTTTTCCACGACCCGTTCAACCCTGAAAAGTCACTTTTCTGTAGTGATTTCACTCAAACAGATCAAGCCCTCAAACCTGTAACTGACTATCTTTTTCCCTGTTTTTAATCCAAGTTTTTCCTTGACCTTGCGGATCTATCAGCAGAGGGAAACGCGTTGCCTTGGTAACGATAATACCATTTTGCACCGAGAGTTCGTCGTTTGGTAAACCTTGAAGGTTCCATTCTCCTACCTAGAAAATAAAAATAGGATAAATCTTATCGATACGTTTACTGGATGCATGGCTCGACTCTAACGGTAACCAACTAGCCACAGACTGGTATTAAATTCAGTTTTGGCGAATGGTTTTCGATTTCCACTGGCCAGATTGGCTAGTAAACAAACTGAAATTGTCGTAAAGTCTAAGTTGTCACTATCCACTTGGCTAGTAAGTTGAAAAGTTAGTGTCGAGTCCTGTGGATGAAATCCAATCGTAGCATACTTCAGTCCTTGCTTGAAGGTACCAACCTAAGAGTAGAGGACATCTTATAAAACAAGATGTCTCTTGGTGCTGCTGAAACTACTCTTATAACACTTTTTAACTAAGTGTCGTAAAACCAAAACCAAAGTTATTACAACGGCTAATCAAAAGATAGGAAGAAAGCTTTAGGAGACAAAGAGATGTCAAAGTAAAAACAATCAAACTGCCCTAGGCGCAAGAAAAGACGGACGACTAAGTTGTGATTGTTTTTTTGTTTTGCATCTGATTGGTTTAAAGAATGGAGGGAGTTTTTTTGAATCAAACACAGAGCGAAGTAAAGGAAAACCAAAATAATCTCGGTTTACTTTCTACACTCAATTGAAAATTGCTGTACAAGCTAAGGTATTGTATCATGAACGATAAATCATTGCGACGTTCTGACAACTGTACTGCTAACCATCGTCGGGCAATGAAGTCGAATGATTACGCGTCGCTATATGCATGGCACATTTGTTAGCTGCTGCCTGTGCGTTTTGCTTTGCGGTCTACAGTATTCCAGCAACAAGGCTCTGATCTCTCGCATATCGCTTTGTTTTTTCATCAGTTATGTTTCTTGGCTGTGAACGTAATGGTGATTGAACGTTTTGTTATCCACTGTCTTGTCTGCTCTTTCGCTGCGTTGCATTGTATTGTGCTGTGGTGAGTTGTAATTTTAGCATTGGTCCAATTTTAACAATTTATTTCTTACCGTGGCTGCATCAACCAGCATGGCCGTGACATTCAGATTGGCGGTGAAGGGGATCTTGCGTGACTTCATGTCCTTCTGCCAATTCCTCATCAACATGTCACGGAACTCTTGGTTAAAGGGACCAGAGTAGGAAAGAAATCCGGTACAAAGCAACACATCGCCAACCAGTCTGTGAAAAATAATACATGTTTACTGAGTGGAAACAAGGCGGCATTTCTTCGACATGGTTTTCTTTGATTACCGTCTTCCTATCAAGTCCCGTTGTCAAAAAACGACTTGCCACTTTTAGAGCCTGAAGACTTGCCGATGACTTAAATACCAAAGAAAGTATTTTGCCATTTTTTACTTAACTTTACTCATGAACAGAACTTCAGTTCTCATGCAGTATTGCCCCAGAAGTATCCCTAGCTCGCCTCCGGGACTATCACACTTGTACTTGACCAATATAATAATTAAGAACCTCTGCAAGGAATTCCTACACGAAACTGAGTACATATTTTTTAAACAATTAAGAGTCAAGAAACATGCCGCTTCGTGACAAAACAGATTTCCAATACCTTCCAATCTGAGCAGCAAATTCTTTGCTCTGTTCAGTCCATCTTTCCTTCTCTCCTCCTAATCCCCCAATGAGAGTGGAAGCGGCCAACATCTTCCGTCGGCAAGTCTCTGCGTCATCCAAAAGATCCTGTTCAAAAGGAGATAAAGCAGTTTCGTTTCAGTATCTAAAATGTAAAACAACAATGCTTCTTTCCATACTAAATCAAAATTTCGGATTAGTACAACTAGTAGTGAAGGTAAAGCTATCGAGAAATTTGCTAATTACTCTACCTGATGTCATTTACGGCAGTCTAATAATATTTTTTCTATCTTGGTTAAATGGGCTTTCTCATCTTTCTTGTTTCCCCTTACAGTTAGCGGGTGAATTTCGCGACAATTCAAACGCTCTTTTCTCCAAAAAGAACCCACTGATCAAAGAAAAATCGGACGCAATGGTGAATTCCACGATTCTAAAACATTTCTTTAAATCAACTCAATCCCGAAAAGTCCTTGTGGCGTGAACACAAATCACCTGTTTTTCTTGTACTGCCTTGTCATACAAAGCCTGCACTTCATCCAGCTCAGCCTGTTTCTCGTCCAGCTGCGCCTGTGCCACATTTAGGTCGTTTTGGGCCACGCTCAATTTGGCCTCTTGGATTGTTAAGTTTGCCTGTAAGCCAATGGTTGGCGGAAAATTAGTAACTATAAGGTAACAAGCCAAGTCTAAAAGCAAGACTGAATCCCATTGTTACAGGAGCTATCCCCGTATGCGCAGCGGAAGCGACTAGAAGAGCTGCTACTCCTCCTTCATTGGGCATCTGTCAATTGCAGTTCACGTCCAAACCTTTCGTCAGATTTCTCTGACAGGTAGCAGGTACCAATTTAAGCTCCTGCGTGGAGTGTTTTGCTCT